GCCAGCCTGGCATGACATGTCATGGTGTCAGGACATGACACCAGAAGCAGTGTCACCAAACAAGATGAGGAAATTTCTAGGAGGCCTCTTTAGAAGACATCATTTTATCAATGAGGGGCTCTTTTAGGAGAGGAAGGCTTGGTAGGACTTTTCCTCTAGTTCTGATCTGAGCCCTGCAAAAGCCAGTAGGACCTGTTGCCTTGGAATTCAAAGGATATGTGTTCTTCCATCCCAGTGGCCCTGTGGGAGTATCCAAGAATAGATGTAGATGGGACCACAGAGTCCATGCTGGCCTCCACTGCTCCTTCCCCCCACTTACTACCTCCCATTGGCCACCCAGTCCTCTTGATTCCACCTCTAAATAGCTCTAGAATCTCTTCACCTGTGCCTACTTCTGCTGCCATCGCCCTGGTCCAAGATGTTGCCATCTCTTGCCTGGGCTCTAATGATTCCCCGAACCAGCCTCCATGTATCCACTCCATGTCCCTCCTCTTCCAATTTCACTCCCCACAGCCAGCCTCCATGTATCCACTCCATGTCCCTCCTCTTCCAATTTCACTCCCCACAGCCAGCCTCCATGTATCCACTCCATGTCCCTCCTCTTCCAATTTCACTCCCCACAAGCAGCCAAAGTCATCTTTTTAAAAATGCAAATCAGATCATGTCTCTCCCAACCTTTTAGATTTTTAACTTTAATGATTTCCTATGGCTTGTTGAGATAAAGTCCCGAATCTCTAACCTGGCCCATCAAGTCCTACTCTTCAACCTCATCTCCTACCGCTCTCTTCCACGTTAGGACTGTTCTCACCACCCTGGTTTCCTTCCATTTCTTGAACACACAAAAAAGCTCGTTCTACCTGAGGATATTTATGCCTGCTGTCCCCCATCCTTAACACGCTTCCCACCCACCTTTCCTTGGGTTGCTCCTATTCACCCCGTGGACCCCACATAAATGTAATTTCCTTTCTCTCGTCTTCTGTGTTGGTCCTTTTGCTTTGGGCTCCCGATAGCAAGCCCTTTGTATGTCTTCACGTCTTCATCAGAGCGTTTACCCCAATTGTGATCCATAATCATTGTTGTAATTTCTGTCCACTTTCTCCCCTCTCCACTACCTGGTAAGGGCTGAGTTCATCACCCTATCGCAGCACAAAGCACAAAGCCTGGCACATGGTAGCTGTTGCTTATTGGAGAATGCATCTGTGAATGAATCTGGCTTCGACTTCCATCCTTCCACTGGGACTGCTATTACTGAGAGTTCACCCATGGCCTCCTCATTGATAATATTACTGAGTTCACCCGTGGCCTCCTCATTGATAATATTACTGAGTTGACCCGTGGCCTCCTCATTGATACGTCCAGGGTTTCTTTTCTGGAATGTCTGAAATGTCTACAACATTTGAACCTGCTGTCAACCTCTAGTTCTGTAAACATTCTCCATCTTTTCTCATCCTTTGGTTTTGAGACAACATTATTTCCTTTGCTTTCTCTCTGAGCACTGCTTCTGAGCCTCCTTGGCTGATGTGCTCTGAGTGTCCCTTAAATGTCAGTGTCCTGCGTGATTCCAGCCCTCAGTTTTTTCTGCTCCCTCTGCACAGTCTGTGAGCAGCCTTAATTATGTCTGTGACTTCAACCCTTATATATTTCAACTGGCGAATCCCACACCTGTATGTCCAGCCCTGTCCCCACTCCTGCACACCAGATCTTTCTCTCACTGCATCCTAAATGCCTCCACCCCAATGTCCCATAGAAGCCTCAAGCTTAACATTTCCAAGTGGAACTAATTCTCTTCCTTGCCAAACTTGTTCTTCCTGTAGAATTTCCTATCTGGCTAAATAATGTCACCCATCTACCTAACCTCTGAAGCTAGATGTCATGGAGTCATCCTAGATACCTCTGCCAGCTCAGTACCCATGTTCAACTGTCATCACATTCTGTCTCTTGAATCTGTCCCTATCCCTCCTCTCTCTGCACTGCCACCACCTTAGTGCAGCCCCTGCTGTACTTGTTGGGGTCATGGCATCAACCTCTTACCTGGGCTCCCTCCTTCCATCTTCTTCACCATCTAGCACTCGTACCAGAGATCTTGTCACAGAGAACAAAGCCTAATCAAGCCACCTCCCTGCCTCACCCCACACCTCTCTCCCTCATGCCCATACAGTGAAGCCCATTCTCCTGAGGATGACGTGCAAGCTTCTTCACAGCTTCCTTGTCTTTCCCTCTGGCTTTTGCTTCTCTTTGCAGCATTCATGGTCCTCTGAGCATGCCATCCCTTTTCAGTTCAGGCTTATAGTGTCAAGCAGGGTTCTCAAACATCAGAATCGCAAGGAAGGCCTGCTGTAAAAACATGGCATGCTGGGCCTCACCTGCAGAGGTTCTAACTCTGTGGGGTCTGAGATGAGGCCCAGGATCTGAATTGGTAACAAGTTTCCAGGGTCTGCGGGGGCTTCTCTTCTGGTGGCCACTGTGAGAACCACCAGTGTATCCTAAAAAGCATGTGAGCCTCGGAGCTCCACTGCCTGGGTCCAAATCCTGCCTCTGCTACCCACTTCCTATGTCACTTAACCTCACCATGCCTCGGTTTACTTATCCATAAAAAGGGACCAATCCTTGAACTACCTTATAGGCTTTGGAGGAGGATTAAATGGGTTAGTACCCAGAAGACTTTCAAACACTGCCTGGGTCATTGTAAGTGTCAGGAACTGTTAGTTGCCACCATTGTTGGTTGTTATTTGTGTTATTATTTACATACTTGGTTGTGAATGTCTGCCTCCCTCTCTTTATTGCTTGCAGTTTTCTCGTCTCCTCTCAAGAATTCATTTCTTTTCTGAGGAGCGTTTTGCTAACACCCTCCCAGCCCCAGGCCTTCTGCACCCTTCTTTGTGCCCACACAGGCCCGCGTGCACCATATCCTAGCATTTGCCACCCTGTACTCGCCTCTTTCCCAGGAGTTGGGCTCACTTGCTGTGTCTCCGCAAGGCTTCATTTTCTTCCAGCTTCATTGAGGTGTAACTGAAAGATAAAATTCTATAATTTTAAGGTGTCCAATATGATGATTTGATATATGTATGTGTTATGAAATGATACCCCAATCAAGTTGGTTAATATAGAATTCAAAGAGAAAATTTTTTTTATAAAGTTAGTTAACACATTCATCACCCCACCTAGTTACCATTTTTGCGTATGTGGCAGGAGCACTTAAAATCTACCCTCTTAGCAAATTTCAAGTGTACAATACAGTATTAAGTCATCACGCTGTACATTAGATCTCTAGAACTTACCCACTTATCCACATTATAACTGCAATTTTGTATCCTTGGACCAACATTTCCCCGTTCTCCCCACCCACAGCCCCTTGCAACCACCATTCTACTCTCTGTTTCTCTGAGTTCAATTGTTCTAGATTCCACATATAAGTGAGATCATAAATTTGCTTTTCTCTGTCTGGCTTACCTCACTTAGCGTAATGCCCTTGAGGTTCAGCGTTCACCCCTGTTGTCGCAAATGGTAGGATTTCCTTCTTTTTGTGGATAAATTATATTCTATTATGTATATGCGCGTGCGCAGACACACACACGCACACACACACACACACTGCACAGCTTCTTTATCCATCCATCCGTTGATGGACACCTGGGTTGTTTCCATGTCTGGGAGATTGTGAATACTGCCGCTGTGAACACGGGAGTGCGGGATCACTTTGAGCTACTGATCGTGTTTCCTTCAGACACATACCTAGAAGTGGGATTGTTGGATCATATGGTAGTTCTGTTTCTAGTTTTTTAAGGAATTTCCATACCATTTTCCGTGTTTAGTCCCTGACTTCAATTTTGAGTCCCGGGAGTCCCGCAAAGTGTCTGGTACATCAGTGGGGGTAAAAAATGTTTCTTAATTAAATGATGGAGTTGGCATATGTTGCAGAATTTATTGAAAATACGGGCTGGGCGCGGTGGCTCACGCCTATAATCCCACAGGCACCCTGCGGAGGCATCGGCCAAGTCAGATTACACACATCAAGGATCCACACCCGACCTCCCTGGGCTAACACGGCTGAAACCCGCGTCCAATCACTACTCAAAAAATATAAATGAAATTACCAGGTGGTGGCGGGTACCTGTAGTCCAGCTACTTGGGGAGGCTGAGGCACGAGAATGGCCATGAACCTGGGGAGGCCAGAGCTTGCAGTCGCGCTGGCAATCCATGCCACTGACTCCAGCGCTGGGCGACAGAGCAAGAATCCCGTCTCAAAAAAAACGACATACTGGCCAAATCGTGTACCAGTCTAGGAAAAGGACTGAATACCATGAAAAAGTGGAGAAAAAAGTGTGTGTGTGTGGGTGGGTGTGTGTGTCCTGAAAGTTTGAGAATGTTGTAGTTAGGATAGTGGGATTAGATTCAAGAATGTGGTCTTGTGGTCTCAGGAACATCTCAGTGCACATCACTTAGGATAATCTTAGCTATGAGTAGCAAACCCCCACAACTCGATGGATTTAAACAAGGATATTTATTACATGTGTCATAAGAAGTCTGGAGGAAGGATGATATTGGTGGTGTCTGATCCAGTGGTCAACGATGTCATCAGGGGCCCGGGTTCATTCTTTCTGTTCTGCCTCAGGCTTCCTCCTCATGGTCACGAAGTGGCTGCAGAGGTTCTAGTCAACACATTAGATGGCACAGCATCCAGCAGAGGAAAAGAGCTGGGAAAACGCTTCCCCAAGCACCCCTAGCAGGGCTCCTCTCACATCTTAGCGACTAGAGGCCGGGTAGAGTCCACCCCAATCTATGCACTGGCAAGAAGCTTGCTTTGTTTTGGCTGGATGAGGCCTCTGAGCTGGGGAGGTCACTGTCCTGAGTGGACAGAATCTGCTAGAAAGGAGGAAAGGAAAAATGGATGCTGCTTCAGCAGACAACAGTGTCTGCCTCAAAGCCCAACCCAGATAATCTAAAATGAATTGCTTGAAGTCAAAGTGAGGAACCCTTTCCTCTCTCTGTTCTACCCATAGGTCATGCCCTGACCACAGCTGCCCTTCAGGAGGCTGGCACGGAGCCACCCAGGGTCATTGGGCTGTTTGTCAAGGGTGCGGCAGCAGCGACTTGCCACTCTTCCTCCATGAGCCCAGCCAGAGCCTCCACTGGGCACTTAGCACAAGAAAAACCCTGCAGGAGCCAGAGTCCAGAGCGTTGGGATTCAGCAGGAGTGCCAGGAGAACTCCACACAGGTGTGCTGCCTCCTCCTGCCAGGCGTGTGGCTGGACACGACTCTTGCTGATGGTAAGAATCGGAGTTCCTGGATGCAGGGGGTACTGGGAGCAGCCTCCTGCGAGAAGGCTGGGCCAAGCAAACAAATGTTCTGAACGAGGATAAGAAAGCAGCATTTCTGCTGAGGGTCTCTGATTTTCTGTAGCCTGCCCCTGGCTTGAAAACTGTCAGCTTAACAAAGTGGGCTCTCAGACCCCCTGGATCTCATGTTTTTTGCTTGTCAGATTCATTGAGAGCTGCAGAATAGGCTCAACAACCCGTAGGGTCTGCTTCTGTGACTGGGACAAAAGCGCTCACAAGAAACTGATGGGAGCGGCTTCACCGGGGGTGGCAGACAATTCTGGCGAGGAGTGGGTGTCCACAGTGGGCAAGAAGTGTGGGCTCCATGTCAGGAGCAGTGGCAACAGCTTCTGGAAATTGTCTAATAGCCTGACATCCTAAAGAATGTCCCGAAGAGCTGAAAAAGCAGTTCTTCCAGACACATGCAGGGAGCAGCGAAATGAGATGCAGTAGAAGGTTGAATCCAGCTGGGAGCACAGTGCAATTTAGTTAGGAGTGACTTCTGTGGCATCTGCTGGTCATGGGTGAGGGCTGGGGGAAAATAATACTAATTTGGCCATTATTACATGTGTCTTTCTTGAATCTTCAAATTATCAACTCCTTGAGGGCAGTAATGGAATATTTTATTTCTCTTGCATTCTTCACAAGGTCGGGTACTCAGCCATTGTTTATTGGTTGAGTATTTGATGGATTCCGACACAATCAACTTGACCAGGCCAGGTCCCAGAATCTTCATTCATGGGAGCAGGGTTGTCCCCAGTATCTGTCGGTACCTGCTGACGAGGAGCGGTGGTGGGTACTTTTGCCACCTGAGTTGGCCGAGGTTGCTGAGTGTGTGAGTTTCCTAGGGGCTGCCTTAACAAAGTGCCGCTAACTGGGTGATTGACAGAAATATCAGGTCTCCCAGTTCTAGAGGCTAGAGGTCTGCAGCCGAGGTGTCAGCAGGGCCGTGATCCCTCCGTGGTGCATAGGAGGCCTCTCTTTGCCTCACCCTGGCTTCTGACGATTTGCTGGCAGACTTTGATCTTCCTTGACTTGCAGCTGCATCACTGCAATGTCTGCCTTTATCATCACATGGCATTCTCGCTGTGTGTGTGTTTCTAAATGTTCCCATTTTTATAAGGACACCAGCCATAGTAGGAACTGCCGTACTCCAGTGTGACCTCATCTTAACTCTTTACATCTTCAGCAACCCCGTTTCCAAAGCAGGTCACATTCTGAGGTAGTGGGGGTTAGGAGTTCAATGTGGAGATCACAGTTCAAGCCGAAACACTCAGTGAGCTCATTCACAGTGACAAGACTAGGGACATACGAAGGGCCGGGATGAATGTGCACGGTGTTTCGTGGTGCTGCCTGGAAGTGACTGGCAGCAGTGTCAGCAGGGGAGCATGTCCTCTGCGCTCAGCATTCCCGAGGGAGGTGTGCTGAGCTGGGCCCAGCTGGACACACTGGATGCCGTGCTCCAGAGGAGGAACTGCACCCACCTATCGCTCTCCTTTGTATGGGACAAGTGGGACACAGCCTTGATGGGGGGAACACACCACTGGGGTTCCAGGCAGCCTTAACTGTCGAGGAATGCCCGGAAATTCTGTCTGCCCAGCAGCTGGAGACCTTGGAGCTCCTCAGTTTCCCGGGAAGTTGAGTTTTGGAGCCGTCTCTCCCAGAGAGGCTGGGAGTTCGTCGCTTTCCCCCTAGAGGCGGGGGGGGCTGCTGGGCTCAACTAGCGCATTGCCAGGCAATCCAGAGAGAGTTCCAGACACCAGACACTGAACAACCTACTTGTCTCCAAACCTAGTAAAGCTTGGACCCACTGCCGCCAACTTTTCTGCCTCTGCAGTTTTGAAGCCCTTAACGTGAAGGTTCCAGCCCAGAAGCCTGCAGGCTGTTCGTAGCGCGTAGATGTGTTTTCTTCCCAGTAGCTGGTGTACACAGTGTTTTTGTATTATTTTTCAAATAGGCAACACATTTGCGTGGTTCAAAAATTAAAGCGCTATAGAAAGGTATTCAGTGAAATCTTATCCCTGCCTCCAGTGGCCAGTCCTGCCCTGCCCGTCCCCTGTAAATACTTTTATTAGTTTCCTATACAACCTTCCAGGATTCCTTTTTGCAGATAAAAGTCAGTACAAATGTATATCTGCCTCCATCCCTCTACTTCTTACGTAATTATAGCAGACTATACACACTATGTTTAACCTTGCCTTTTTCACTTAATTTATCTTGGTGATCTTTCCCTATCTGTATGTGGGGAGCTTCCTCATTCTTTTTTTACAGGGGTGTAGTATCCCGTTGTATGGATTTACCATAATTTAACAATCCCCTACTGATGAACACAGGTTGTTTTTAGTCATTTTCTGTGAATGTTACAAGAAACACTGCACTGAATAAACCTGCCATTTCGTGTTGACCCTGAACATGTGTAACATTTAAAAATTCTGAAAAATCTTTGAATAATCAGAAGAACTGGAAACACTCGGTTCTAACATGTGGACAACTGGTTGGGTTGGGTAGCAGCTGTCCTTTTAAAGAGACCTCCCTGCCCCGCTCTGGCATGTTCCCCACCACCTCTTGCTGACCCTCTTGCGTTCATCCTGAGCGCTGACTGCTATCTGGCAACATTGTGCTGTTTCCCTCATAGAGTATTAAGGAGGAAGGGAAATCACTCATGTACTCATGTCTCTTCAAGGGGGAATCTGAAAACCAAGGAGGCTGTCTTTTTCCAGCAGAGCGGGAGGGCAGACTCGATATGAAAGCGATTCTGCTTCTTTATCGGCCCCTCACCACTCGGCCCATTTCTGTTATTCTTCTGTATGCTTGAGATTGCAGCCCCTGCCTTGCTATGTCCAGGCTTTTGTCTCAGGAGCTGAAAAGTGGAAGGGAAAGAACCCGGCCCTCTTCTTGCTTTTGTGCACTGTGTGAGTAGCTGCATGGAGACCAGCAATAAAAGTGAAATACAAGACAGTCAGAAGTGTTATTCTATTACATGGATTATCTCAGCAGAGCCCCCAAAGCACTGGTAGCACTATCTCCCTTTTCCAGACAAGGAAACAGTAGCAGAGTGAAGTGGCTTCACCAAGACTCATAACTCGTACACAGAACTAGGATCAGAACCCAGGTTTTTCTGTCACTAGAACCTGACATTTTAGCCAATCTATCGTGCTGCTTCCAAAGGTTTTTTTTTTTTTTTCCTTGATACAGAGTCTCGCTGTGTCACCCAGGCTGGAGTGCAGTGATGCAATCTCGGTTCACTGCAACCTCTGCCTCCCAGGTTCAGGTGATTCTCCTGCCTCAAGCTCCCGAATAGCTGGGACTACAGGTGCGCACCACCACGTCCAGCTAATTTTTGTATTTTTAGTAGAGACGGGGTTTCACCATGTTGGCCAGGATGGTCTCAATCTCTTGACCTCATGACCTGCCTGCCTCGTCCTCCCAAAGTGCTGGGATTACATGCGTGAGCCAGCACACCCGGCCCCAAAGTCTTTTTAAAAAAGGTGTGGTCTACAGTTATGCCTCTCACCTGCTAAGTTTGTCACTACTGATGCTGTGGAGATGACAGTCATGACAAAGATAAAAGCAGCTCTGAAAACAGGCAAGATGGCTCCATGCTGCGAAGAAGGTGGGTGACAATGCGTGTGTGGTCTCATAACTAACATGACGGCTGTTCCTTGATCGTTTTTCCCATTTTATAGAGTGGAATTGGCTCCCCTGCCCTTTTTGCTCTTTCGATCCAAAAACACGTATTGAGCAACTTCTGAATGCCAGGCACTGTGCTCGGTGTGAGTGATAAGCCTGGTGCCTGGAGGCTAGTTCAGGTAGGTCAACAGAAAGCTGCAGTGCCACCAGGTATATGTGGTGCTGGTGACATGGATGCGTTGGATTGTGTCCAGAATGTGACAAAAGAGACAAATATACCATGGAGCAACCATGAACAACAAGGCGAGTGGCTTCCAGTTGTCTTGGGTCCAGTTGTCTTGGGTCCTCGTCATTTTACACTACTTGATGAAGGAAGGAAGTGGGGCCCAGAAGTGGTGGCTGTGAGCTAAGGTATTGAGCCATCCTTCTGCCCGCAGCCCAGGATGAGCATGACCACAACTGGCAGCTCTCTGGAGCCTACTCGGGGTTGAAAGGTGGGCCAAAGGAACCTTCCCTCCCTTTGTTGCTCCACCTCAGCTTTTCTCATTCCTGGCCGTTTGTTTATCCTGTAAGCTGGGGGCTGGGGGTCTCCCAAAGGAACACTCACCCTGAGAATTAGCATTCTTCCAGCGGGGCAAAATCCTCTTCCCTGCTGAAGAAATTCTAAACCCAGCCAGCTGAAAGAGGAAGAGTGCAGGGGTTAGGGAATGGTGGGACCAAGAGGGCACATTCCATCTGATCTCTGAAATCACACCTCAGCTATAGGACTTGCCCACCAAGGCTTCTTGTCACCGTGCTTTGTTGGATTTGTAATGTTGCTGTTTCTCTCTCTTCTCCCCCAGGGTTTGCATGCAACAGCATCCGTCATCTCTGTGGTTATCTTAGAACAACGGGGGCTTTTGCTTTGTATTTATTCTTTCTCTGAGTGCAGTGCTAACCACAGCAGCCTACGGGCAGAGGGGTTGGGGAGGGAGCCAGCTGCTTTTCACTGAAATCCTATGGTCTTCAGCTGCAGGTGGTGCGAGTGCTGAAACTGTGTGAAACAAAAGTGTTGAAACTCAGTCCCAAGTGACTTCTGGGGATCTGTTGGCCTGTGCTTCCTATGGATGAGTAATTAGAAACGAGCTGTTTTCAGGTTGAAAAGGAGAATCCAGAGTCCTGACGGAATGCAGGCAGCAGGCACGTCTAGGGCCACAGACAGGTATGTGCACTTCTCTGTGCTGGCAGCTGTGTGCAGATACAAGAGAAGCATCCCATCCCCTCCTTGCCCTCAAGGAACTTAGTGACAGGAAGAGGAGCAACATTTACAGTTGGTCTACCCT